TCTGAATCTGAGGCATTCACGTCGTCGTCACCCCCCTCCTTCCCCCTCCTCCGCCTTCTTCCGGTCCTCCTGCTCCTTTTGCTCCTCATACTCCTGCTTTTGCTGCTGCTGCGGTTCCTTTTCCGTCTGCCTCATCCTCATCCGCTTCCTCCTGCTCATCCACCGCCTCATCCACCGCCTCGTCCAATGTACACAGCTCCCCTGTCTGATGACGCATAACGCATAACACGATGGGATAATTTGGGGATTCCAGGTTCCAGGTCTGCTGTGGCATCCGTCGGCTGAGGTTGTCTGCTATGCCAACCGTCGTTTCCAGGTCTGCCACTTCACCCCTCAGCGCAATGGGAAGGGATGGGTGGGAGGCGTAGGATGTCAGATTTGGCGCGAGCGCACCTAGTTTATCCTTCCCTCTCTCCCTACCCCCTCGTACCCCCCCTCCTCCTTCTTACCCTCCCTCCTTTCTCCGCCTCCACCGATCCAGTCCTCCCTACCCTCCTCCCCATCCATCCTCCTCCGCCTCCTCCTCCTCTTCCTCCTCCACTCCTCCTCCTCCACTCCTCCTCCTCGTCCTCCTCCTCCTCCTCCTCCTCCTCCTCCTCATCGTCATCATCATCATCCTCCTCTTCCTCACTCCTCATCCTCCCATCCTCCCCTCCTCCCCCTCCGCCTCCCCCTCCCATCCTCCCCTCCCCCTCCTCCTCCCCCTCCACCCATCCTTCCTTCCTTCTCCCCCTCCCCCGCGAGGGCGCCCGAACTCTTGGCCCCTGCGCCCCTCGCAGCCCCGCGCTGCCGGCGGGGCGCGCCGCGAGCGCGCCAGCGAGCGCCGGTGGGCACGCCGCCCGGCGCTGGAGGGTTTGGGCCGACCGCCCGCGGGCGCGCTCCGGGATGGGCCAGCAGGTTCGCATTGGGGGGCGGTCGGCGGCGACGATACGGTCGTTGAGATACGAATTCGTTCCAGAGCATTTTGTCCTCGTCCTGACTTTGTCCTGCGTTGCCGCGCACCACCGCACAGACGAGCTCCACTCGAGAAGGAAGAGGAGAGGAGGAGGAGGAGGAGGAGGAGGAGGAGGAGGAGGAGGAGGAGGAGGAGGAGGAGGAGGAGGAGGAGGAGGAGGGAAGGAGGAGGAGGAGGAGGACCACCGCACAGACGAGCTCCGCTCCTGGCTCACGGAAGCGCGCCGCCCCCAGCGGCGGTCGGTCGGCGCGGCGGCGGAATGCAGTGGGCACCCATGCCAAGATGAGGCGATCGCAAACATACATCAGGGGAGCGTGGATTGGCGACGGGTCCCGTTTCCGTAGGCAACCTCGGATTTCCGCCGCCGCGCGAGGCGGCACCGGTCGCATCTCGGGGAGGGCACCTCCCCCGATCCGTGGATTTGGCGACCGCGCGCTCAATCCATGGATCGCTAATCCATGGTTGCGCGCCCCCGACAAGAGTCACCCTGGTTGCCTCCAAGGTGCCCTGGGTTTCTTCGGTTTTGATGGTTCTGCGAGAGAGAGCGCTGCGTCCCCGCACCAGTTTGTTTTTTTGTTCCCGCAGGCGCGGAGCTGTTGTGGACATCGCGGGCACTTCGTCTTTTCAGGGGGGGTGCGCAGCGAGGGGGAGGAGGACGAGGGCGAGAAGCGACGAGGGCGAGGAGCGACGAGGCAACGCGAGGGGGAGGAGGACGAGGGCGAGGAGCGACGGGCCCGAGGGCGGGCGCCCTTGCCCTCGGGTTCGCGGGGGGGGGGGGGAGCGGCCTCCCCGAGCGGCGCCGCGCAGGCGTCCGGCTCCTGCGGATGCAGCTGCCTCCAGGCCGAGCAGCAGCAGGACCCCGCCGCCCTGGCGATGCACCAGCGCCTCGCGCCCGCCGCGCCGTCCTCGGGGCGCGCGGGACGGGGCTCACGGAAAAGAAGCAGGTGAAAAGCTATTTCCACGGTCCGCGCGGATTTCTCTGATCGGCGCTGGGCCCCCCTGGAGGCGCCTCCGGCGCCGCCCTGGCGCGCTCCGCGCGCCAGGGGTGGGGGTCCAGCGCCGATTCAAGAAGTCCGCGCGGAGCGTCGAAAGTTCGCGTTTGTGTTTTTTTTTCTTTCTCGGGTTCCGATGGAACGATGGAACCTGCAGGATCCTGCCGAGGTGGGTTTGGGAGCCCTTCGGGGCCCTGGAGGTGGCCTTTATTGGCAGCCCCCGCGACAAAATTGCCACACGTTTTTCGTTTGAGCTGGGCTTGCGCGGGGCCTGGTTAGAATCTGCGCCCGACCACCCGCCTCGCCGTCCTTTCGCCGATCCTCGGAGAAGGAAGATATACCGACGCTTTCGGGTGGCACTCCTGGGCGGAGGAGCTCCGCATCGGCGCTGGTGTATCCGTGGCCGATGACCAGTCGAATCTTGGCATAGTCCCGTTTGATCCGGTTTCATCCCGCTTTCTTCGGCGAAATCCCATGTTTTTTGTGGCCGAGTCTGGCTCAATCGCCTCGTCGGACTCCGCAGCCGTCATTTGCTGTCACTGGGACCTGCCAGGAGTTGCCTCTCGAGATGCCGCCACCCTTCCCTCATCACCACGGCTGGATTCGCCTGGAGATCCTGATCAGAATGCTGCCCCAGAGAGGTCCAGGGAGGACAGCGGGGCCGCGCAGCAAGCAACTGGTTGCTTTGCGTCCGGGCACCTGGGTTTGCTTCGCTTCGCGCGCTGCGCTGTGACCCGCCACGTCCGTCAAAAGAGCTGCTGCGTCCAGGGTGCTCTGGACTTGCCCCCAGTCGCAGCTCGCGCACCGGTCTTCAAGGCTGGGTTTCTTGCGGGAGGTTCTTGCGTCCGCGTCCGCACTGTAAAGTGGAAATCGATGATAAGGATGGGTCGCCTTACCAAGGGCACCCTTGCATCCTTGTCTCTTCGGTCCACCCTTGGCCACTCTCGATGGCCAGCCCCGCTCGAGAAGGTTCGACATGGGCGCCCAAGGTGCTTGCATCCTTCTCGCGCATCCTCACTATCGGTTTGACGGTAGTGGTAGTGGCATCACGTCGTCACGTCGTTCCCCCAGATCTTGAGCGGGCCGATCGTGGGCCGCATGGTCGGGTCGGCGTGCGCGCTTCATTGGCCAGGCAGCGTGGGCGTGCACACCGATCCTCATATCCCCAGGACGGGCCCGCCCAAGACCCTGCGAGGTCGACCGTGGGCGTCCCCCGACCGTCCTCCTCCCGCCCCTGGCCTCGTCGCCCTCCCGCCCTCCCGCCCTTCCCTCTGCGCACGCCTCCTCGCCTTCCCTTCCCTTCCTCGTGCCCTCTCCACCGTCCTCCCTGCCTCCCTCCCTCCCGTCCTCCCTCCCTTCCCCTTGACTTCAGCCGAAAGCTTTGAGTCGAGCTGAGTTAGCGGCTCGCCAGAAGCCAGCTCGCGAGTCCCTGTCCCAGGTGTCAGGCTAATGTTCCCCCTTTCCACGCAGCGAACGACCTTGCTTCTCTCTCTCTCTCTCTCTCTCTTGGGGGCCAAAAAATATTCACCACCACAACCACCGCCTCCCTCCCCCCCTTCCCTCTCGCTGGACAGGAGAGAGGAGGAATCGACGTGATGGTGGTGTATATTCTTTGAGCCCCCATCTCTCTCTCTCTCTCGCTCTCCTTCTCCGCCTGCCTGGCGTGCACCGCCCGACGCTCGACACCCGAGCGGCGGCAGCCTCTGGCGACGGCCGGCGCCCGGGCGCCCCGTCGCTCCCCCTTGCGAGCCCCCGCGGCGCTCGCTGCCGGTCGGCACCCCTCGCCCGAGCGTTCGGCCGCTGAGACGGAGTCGGGCGTGTCCCTCCACAGGAGGCAGATCCAAAGGTAGCAGAACAGAAAACAGCCCGGGGACGATGCTTGGACCGTTCCTGAGCACTCGTTGCGTCTTTCTTGGGGGGGGGGGGGCATCTCTGAGCTTCGTCCAAGATATCACCCCGTTTGGGGGACATGCCCGACCGCTCGGCCGCCGAGACTCTCTCGCGCACTCGCTCTCGCCCCCGCTGTTCTCGGGCCCTCGCTCGGCCCCCCACTGCGTCGCGCCCTGCGCGCGGCTGCAGTGCCAGGGGAGCCTGGGGCTCGTCGCTCATCCACCGGCCCGCAAGAAGAAGCCTTCGGGTCTCACCACACACGCGTGATTGACAAAGAACAAGTGTGATAAAAAACACACGTTGTGATAGAAAAGCAGACAAGTTGTTTATCACACTTGCTTTTTGTCACACTTGTTCGGGCTCGTCGCTCACCCACGGCCAACAACAAGAAGCTTTCTCTCTCTCCCCGCTCCCCTCGGTGCAGGGAAAAAGGGTGCCGATACCCCGCTGCCCTTGCATCGTTTCTCCTTCTTGGGGGGCCTCCTGGGGGGCCCTGGTCGCCACCGCTCGATTTGCCCTGAAATTCTGGTTACAGAGCGCACCTCGAGAGAGGTCCGGGGGCCTGGCGGCATGGGTACCTTTTTGGTTTCCCCACAGGCAGTTCCAGGAGGCCTGGAGTTTCGGCCTGGGCCTCCCATAGGGGGCCACATGCGAACCCTACCCCTAACCCCCACGGTTTCTGAGGGGGAGGGTGGGCTTCACATGTGGCCCACCCTCCCCCTCGGAAATCGTGGGGGGTAGGGGTAGGTTTCGCATGTGGCCCCCTATCCCGCCCCGCGTGGCGGGAGATTTTCAAAGCTCGACCTCGGGCGGACGAGTTCTTGCATGGGGCAGGGCCTTCCTCCGCCGGCACAGGCTGCGATGGGCCGCGCAGGCTGCGGCCCGAGCCCTGACCTAGGCCTCGAAGAGGGAGGGAGGGGGGGACGAGAGAGGCAGGAGGGAAGCAGGAGGCAGGAGGGAAGCAGGAGGCAGGAGGGAAGCGAGAGGAAGAGGAGGAGGGAGGCGGAGGGAGGAGGAGGAGGAGGAGGAGGAGGAGGAGGAGGAGGAGCAGGAGGAGGAGGAGGAGCAGGAGGAGGAGGAGGAGGAGGAGGAGCAGGAGGAGCAGGAGGAGCAGGAGGAGCAGGAGGAGGAGGAGGAGGAGGAGGAGCAGGAGGGGGACCTCGCCAGCCGTCTCAGCGTCAGGCGCGGGCCCCCGGTTCCAGGCCCCCCCCGGCGCGTTTTGCGCAGAGATGGCTTCCGCCGCGACGACCACCCGGCGCGGCCGAGGCCGCGGCCTCGCCGCGGCCATCGCGCTCGCCGCCGCCTGCCGGCTGCTGGAGGGCCCGCTGGCCTTCCTGTCGGCGGCGGGCGCCGGCAGTCGCCCGCGTGCGCGGGGTGCCTTGGTGGCGATCTGGGGGGGAAGAGCTCACGCACGCACGCACACACGCACAAGCCGCACGCACAAGCCGCTCGCACAAGCCGCACGCACAAGCACGCACGCACGCACGCACGCACAAGCCGCACGCACAAGCACGCACAAGCGCGCACAAGCCGCACGCACAAGTTCCCACGCACGCACGCACGCAGGCACGCACAGACGGAATAGTCATTAACTTCCTGAGCTCCTGGCGGATGTCGGCAGGATTAGGAGAGGAGGATCTACTGCGGCAGGTTCGTGTTGGGTCGACGCAGTGGCGACCCCGCCGCGGGCGTTCAAGGTTGAACGCCGCCAGTGGCCTAGAATCGGCCCGTAAGGAACTATTTGGCGATCGAGAAGCCGCCGATCACTCAAGGTTGAACGATCCACGCGAGCGCGGGGGGCCCCTGGGGCGATCAGTGGACGAATATCCAGCGATACCCTGGCCTCCCCGATGGGGTTAGAGTAGATGGGATCGATGCTCGCGCCGCATCAGCGATGCGTCTCGATGCGGAGCCCGATTCTTTCCACGCCAACGGCGCCGATGCATCGCCGACGTCGCCGATGCATCGGCGATGCATCGGCGATGCGGCGCGATCATCCGACCCCATCTAGGAGGCCTCTCGATACTCGAAGCAAGAAAAGGTACCGATACCGCCACGCTTCCCTCGCTTGCGCCCTGGTGAGCCTCCTGGGAGGTCCTCGTCGCCACGGCCGGAGTCGCTTCGAAGTCATCTCAAGAACGGATTCCAGGAGCGGTCGGGGGAGTAGCGATATCGGTGCTGGTTTCCCCTGCCGCTGCCTTTTGCCAGAACTCCGACGATCAAGTGTTTCCAGTCCAGGCGATTCTCCCCCGGTGATGGCCCCTGGGGTCTGTTATCGGGCCCTGGGACCATCAAACACTGATGCGAGTCGAAAACTGGCCACGGGGAAGGGTCGGGAGCTCTAGGGCCGAGAATTGAACAGATCATATCGGTGGATGTCAGGGTTACGCAAGGAATGGTCGGCAACGCGCGCCGCATCACAACTGTGAAGTGGATCCACGTGATGTTGTTCTACCACCTGCGCCCAGCGAGTAGCGGTATGACATGTATGTCTCCAGCATCGGGGACGCCTGTCCTTGGGCCGATGGCGGGTTGTTCACCCTTACGTAGGTAGATGGAATCTCTCCAGCCGCCCTGGGAAGGGCGTTCCCGATCACGTGCACACGTGTATCTATATATATATATATGTATGTGTGTACGACTTCCCTTCGGATGCTAAGGAGGTTCGGGGTCGGTGGAAGGAACCAGCGTCTCATTCAATCGATCTCACTATCGATTCCCGGTGGGGGGCTCTCCGTTTCGCTGCGGTCTCGTTTTTTCGCCTCCGGTGGTTGTGCCGCCCTTCGCCCGGGCGCGCGGACTTGGTCCTCGACCCTTCGCCGTTGCTCTTACCCTGGCCAGGCCGAACGAGCCCCGGGAGAGGCTCGGGGTCGGCGGAGGCGAAGTCCACACGGAGTGAGTCCATACGGAGCGCTCGGTCTCCGTCTGGGCTTACTCCGTCTGGACTTGGCCTCTCCTGATGGGGATTGGCGGTCTCGCTAGGAGGCGCAGGGTTTGCTAGGGACGGGATTCCCCCCGAAGCGGCCAAGACCCTCTCAAAACCTTGCTGGGACCCTGCGGGAGGAGTCCCAGAACCCTTCGGGGATGGCTCCCAGAGAATTTTTCGGGATCCTCCTCCACCTCCTCCTCCCCCTCCTCCCCTTCCTCCCCCTCCTCCTCCTCCTCCTCCTCCTCCTCCTCCTCCTCCTCCTCCTTCCCCTCCCCCTCCTCCTCCTCCTCCCCATCCCCCTCCCCCTCCTCCCCCTTCCGCCCCCGGGATCGGCATCTTCCTGCTGCCCCAGGCGAGGCCACGCGGGGCCCTCGGCCGCGCCTCGCGCACGGCGATGGGCGCCCGGCCGGACCTCTGGGCAGCAAGCACTGCCGGGAGCCTTGAGACGGGGGTCAATGCTCGGGCCGGGCGACAGGGAGGGATTAGGAAAGGGGGTGTTACGAAATTTGCTGCGTGCAGCTGGTTTCGGCCTCACCGAGGGGCCCATTCCTGGCGCCGGGAGGCGCCGGGAAAATCAGCTACGTGAGCTGATTCTCAACCACCCCCTCTGCTATGCCCCTCCTTTCACCCGACCCGAAATGCAAACGGGGGTCAGCCAGGACACCGGATCCTGCAGGATCCTGCGAAGACCCCCTCTGGCTGACCCGGTATAGCGAGCCGCTCGTGGCCGCGAGGGCGGCCGCGCATATTGGCTGACCCGGGTTTGCGAGGACCTGCGTTGCAGTTTTTTTTCCTGCATTGCAGTTTTTTGGTTTCCTGCTGACCCGGGTCTGGATTGACCCGGGTGAGAAGATCCCCGACTTTGCCAAGCAGTGGCGAGGCGTCCTGGCTCGCCTATAGGACTAAACTCGGGCGTGTCCCTCTACAGGAGGAGTAGTCAAACATAGTCCAGCATAGTCTGGGGACCGTGTTTTTGCTTTCTCGTTGCAAAAAACTATGTTGACTATTTGGGGGCATGTTTTGAGTATTTGTCATTCTTCGTCCAAGATCCCCCTGTATGGGGACATGCCTGACCTAACTATAGGCCTACCTAAGAATGTTCTGAGAACCTTTTGTGGTTTCCAGGAAATGTTCCCAGAACATTTCTGGCCAGGACTGTTTTGGTTTAGTGCACATCGGGTTCATGTTCTGCGAAAGTTTGTATTTGTTCTCAGAACAGGTCTGGGTTCTAAGAACACTTCGTTGTAGGCCTATGGGAATGCCGGGACGGTCGGTTCCTGCTGAAAGCAAGGCGCGCACCTGCTGCACGGTGTGGATGGAGGGAGCCAGCCGCTGACCAGGGTGGGCCAGGAGGTGTGGCTCAGTGTCGCTCACCCAGGCCTCCTCGCGCTGTGAAAAATTCGCGACGGGAGGTCTTGCGCTATTTTCGGCCTCCGGGGTCCCTTCCCAGGCCTCGGGACCGTCAAAAAACGACTCGGGATGAAAAACCGGTCCCAGGGAAAGGGTCCAGACCTTTGGGGACCGACGTTGTGAAACAATCAAGACGTCGGGGGTCTGGGAAACTGAGCCAATATCCCCATCCCGAGTCCGACGATCACAGCACCCCAGTTGGGAATACATCCCTCGAAACCAGGAGGGAACCGCCTGTACTTCTTTTCCACCCAGGGGAAGTAAATCGGCCAGCGGGGCCGAGGCCGCGCCCATGGGGATGGGGGGTCGAGTAAGCGATGCTCACAGGGTGGGCCGGGTTCAGAGCAGCCCTCGGAGGTCCGAGCAGCTTCTGTCAAGTTGGCAGTCGGCGTCGGGCTCCCTTCCCCCCACGCCCTCGGGGGCGCCGCCTCTGGAGGTAATTGTGTGTCTGCGTGCACCGCGGTAGTTGGGGCGTGCTGGATCATCGTGCGAGTGGCTTCCCCGCCCCCACCTCGGGCGCCCGAGCTATGTGTGCTTGCGGCTTGCGTGCGTGCCTGCGTGCGTCTGTGTGTGAGAGAGTATAGAACGTGTGCGTGTGTGTGCGTGTGTGTGTGTGTGTGTGTGTGCGTGTGTGTGTGTGTGTGTGTGCGTGTGTGTGTGTGTGTGTGCGATTGTGTGTGTGTGTGCGCGTGTGTGCGTGCGTGCGTGCGTGCGTGCGTGCGTGCGCGCGCGTGTGTGTGTGTGTGTGTGTGTGTGTGTGTGTGTGTGTGTGTGTGTGAGTGTGTGTGTATGTGTGTGTGTGTGTGTGTCTGTGTGTGTTGTGTGTGTATGTGGGGGGGGGCCCGGGGGGACCCTGAGGGGTGACGTTAGGGGGGATTTGGCTCAGGTGGAGAAGCACCAGCCCTCAATCGCCCACTCGTCGCCGTCGGGGGCCTGGTAGCCCACCCGGCCCAGGAGCATGCGGTCTCGCAGTCGGGGGCCTCTCGCCGACCCATCGGCGACGCATCGCCGATTCCGGGTCGGTATCCCCACCCCGGAGCCAGTCCCCCCTCTCGTTCCCCCCTGGCCCAGCGCCGACCCAGACAGTTCGGCATTGGGGGGCAGGAGGAGGAGGGGGAGGAGGAGGATGAGGAGGCGGAGGAGGAGGAGGGGGAGAAGGAGGAGGAGGAGGGAGAGAGGAGCGCGCGCCAGATCTGACATTAGACCCCTCTCACCCATCCCTTCCCATTGCGTGGATATTTCCTCTACACGCCGACAGGAGTCCTAGCGGATCTGCATCCCCAGAATTGCCTCCCACCGTGTGATGCGCAATCAGAAAAATGTTTTGTATGCATTGGAGGAGGAGGAGCAGACGAAGAATGAGGAGGTGGCGAATGAGCAGGAGGATGAGCAGGAGAAAGATAATATTTAGGAAGGAGGAGGGAGAGGAGGAGGAGGAGGAAGAGGAGGAGGAAAATCAGCAGGACCAGGAGTATGAGGGGCGTGATAATCACGAGGACCAGGGGAACACAGGAGAGAAAAGGAGGAGAGTGTCAACGACGTGGAAGAAATCAGATCCAGAAATGTTGTCCGTGCTTGGGCTAGATCGCCATTCTGAACAACGGGGGCAACAAGCTGATCCTGAAATGCGGGGAATGCTGCAGCTGCATCACCTTCTTGCAAAAACCCTAGATGTCCTGAGTGGAACCATGCCCTCTAAATCATCAATGCTTCAATTCCTGTGCGCTAGAAAGCTGCACGCGGGAAACACATTGTCTTGTTCACACATGATCTGGAGAGAGTAGTTCGCACTTTGAGTAATCGTGGAGGGCGTGGCAGGCGGGAGGGAGGAGGAGGAGGAAGAGGAGGATGGTCAGGATCAGAAGAGACCAAGGATGCATGAACGATTTTGCTAGACAGCCTCCCGCCCCAAGTCTCTTTTCACAGCGTGAAGTGCCGCCTGAAGCGCCATGTGCCCATTCATGCGAGATCCCCGCTGTGTATAGGAGCTATGCCCCTCACACGGGGTGGTTGTAGACAGAAGTGGGGATGCCCTTCATATGCGCAACTTCAACAACACAGCATTTCATATCTATACCCTTACGAAGGAGGAGGTGGACGAGGGATGCCTCCGAAAGTGTTTGCGCCTGTGCCGTCTCTCCGCCCTTCCAGGACACCACCCTGGAGGTCGGGTGCAAGGTTAAGGCGATGTCCCCCGACGACGAGCAGTGGTATTTTGGCAGGGTGACGGACCGCCGGCGCGCGCCGGGGGAGCGGGGCAGGGTGGATCGTCCTTCTGAGAGGTCCCGGTTGCTCCGCAGACATGCTCGCGCCATGCACAGAAACACGACGGAAGGTGTTTGGTAGTTTTCGCCCTCCCGGGGCCCTCGCTGGGCCCCAGGTTCGCCAAGAAGCGACTTGGGACGAAGATCGTACTCTGGGGAAAAAGGTCGGGATTTCCTGGGACCCCAAGACGTGAGTGGCCAGGTCGAATGCAAGGCAGGACGGCACAACAAGCCTTCTGCCTTCTCAGAGGGCCAGCCCCCTGCCTCACCGCCCTTGTGCGCGCCGTTCGCAGGAGGACGCTGGCGCGGGCAATTGGGTGGTGAAGTGGGACGACCCAGACGGTGGCCCAGAGACCAACTCGCTGACCGAGGAGTACATCAAGAAGTTCATATTCACCAAGGACTACAAGGTCGGCGACGACTGCAGGGCCATAAATCCCGACGACGAGCGCTGGTATCCTGGCACGGTGGCGGAGGCGCTTGGCGAGGACAAGTTCCGCGTGAAGTGGGACGATCCTGATGGAGGCGATGAGACCTTAGACGTCCACGCCGAGAACATGAAAAAGGTCATTGTTAAGCGAGACTACAAGAAGGGCGACGAGGTGCTTGGTAGATTTCCAGAGGACGGCATGATGTACCCAGGTACTGTAGTGAAGGACGATGGTCTTCCAAATAGCAGCCATCAACTGCAAGGGGTGACAGGAACAGTCGAACATATGCCCTGAGGTGCGATTTTGTTTGTCTGTTGTCTTCGGGGGGAGGTCTTTGTTTGGCCTCATGGGGGGCCATCGAGGCCACAGCCGAGTTCGATCCGAACTCCAGGTCAGAACGCGCTCCAGAATGGGCCAGGGGGTAGAACGCGGACTCCTCCCCTCCCTCCCCCCCAAGGGCTTTCCCTACGTTCTCCAGGCAGCCAGTTCCCCCCCCTGCCGCAGTGGCATAAGAGTTTGGCAGTTGATGCTGCTGTCGTGCCGCCGCCGCTGGGATTAGTCCCCAATCGCCTTAACCTTCTTCTCCTCTTCCTTCTCTCGCCTCTCCATCCTTCTCCTCCTCGCTCTCCTCCCTCCTCCCTCCTCCTCCTCCTCCTCCTGCTCCTGCTCCTGCTCCTGCTCCTCCTCCTCATCCTCCTTCTCCTGTCTCCTTCTCTCTCCTCCCCGTCCGCCCTTCTCCCCTTCCTTCGTCCCCCCCCCCCCATCCCTCCATCCCTCACCCATCCGCCCTCTTCTCCCCCTCCTCTCTCCTCCGCCCTCCTCCGCCCCCGCCTCCGTCTTCTCTTGTACTCCCTCCTCTTCATGTATGCTTCTTCACTTTCCTCCACATCCTCCCTCCTCCTCCCCCTGCTCCTCCGCCTCCTCCTGCTCCATGGTTCCTTATCGTCCTCTCTCCTCCCTCTCCTCTTCCCCCTCCTCCCTCCTTCCACTCTTCGTCCCCCCCCCCTCTGTCCTCCCCAGACATCCGACGCCGCGTTTCCCCTCACAAGGTGGAACCTGGAAGGTCTGGACCCTTGGGGCCCTCAAGGTCTGGACCCTCTCCCAGGGACCGGCTTCTCATCCTCGAGTTCTTTTGTTGACGGCCCCGCGCCCCGGTAAGAAAGGGGCCCCCCGCGGCCGAACAGTTTGTGTTCCTTGAGCCTTCCGCCGCATGTTGTTTCCTCACGCCTCCTCGGTGACCTGCGGCGCGCCTGGTCATTCCAAGAGCACACGGCACGCCACGACACCGAAGGGCGGGTCGCAAGCAAGGCCCAGTCGGAGCAGGCATGGGAAGAGGCGGGGGAGGCGGCATGGGAGCAGGGGGGAGCGAGGACAGGTGAAAGGATTGACCGAGAGGTTGGACCCAGGTTCAGGAACAAGCCCCCTGGGAAGCCTGGATCGCTCTGAGCTCCCCTTTGCGCGCGCCTCCTCCTCCTCCTCCTCCTCCTCCTGCTCCTCCTCCTCCTCCTCTTTATTCTCGTCCTCCTCAATCTCGTCCTCCTTCTCCTCCTCCTTCCTCCTCCACCACCGGCGAAGGCGAACAAGGATGGTACTTTCACGGTCAAGTGGGAGGATCCCGACGGTGGCCCGGAGGAGTCCGACGTGAGCCCGAAGGACATGAAGGTCCCTCCCATCCCGTTCGACTCGCTCGAGGTCGGCCAGGAGTTGCGCGGGAGGTCGTGGGCGATAAACATATCCGTATCGGCGGCCTCGCGAGCCAGACCCTCCAGCCGTGACCCCGCGGATACGGGGCTTTTTTTCCGTGGACGCCCCACGCGGAACGTATCCGTGCGACCGCGTATCCGCGGGGTCGTGTCCCGCAATGTCCAGACCGCGAGGGCACGGATACGGATACGTTCGCCGTTCGCAACCAAACGATTCAGGATGAAACACCTGCCTCGGGCACAGGGTCGGGACTTTCTGCGGGCAAGCTGTATATCCATACCCACTGTACCTTGGAGTTCTGGCTCCCCCAGCACCCGAGACGCAGTGAACACATATAAACATCTGGACCCTAGAGGCTAGATTTGGCGCCCCTTCCCAGAAAGTCCAAGACGCAGTGGACATGGATGTGAATCTTGCCCGCACTCTGGTGGCCATCACTGGGCCCCAGGACCGTCAAACAACGACCCGGGATGACAAGCCCTGGAATTCCAGAGACCCCGTATCGAATAGGAAGATGGCGCACATCCATATCAAGACAACACACCGTAGTGAGCAAGTCAAGGCCTTGCATATCCGGAGGAGGAGAACCTCCCCGACTCCCCTCCTCCCCGTCGTCTCCTCGGCACACGGCGGGTGTCGGAGCATAGAAGGGTGCAGGAGGGAACAGCAGAAGGAGCAGGGTAGGAGGAGCAGCAGCAGGATAATGGGAAAAAGGAGGGGGGAAGGCTGAGTAGCGTGATGGGGAAGGACACGGATGACCAAAAGGCTGGAGATGAGGAGGGGGAGGAGGAGGAGAAGGAGGAGGAGGAGGAGGAGGCGGAGGTGGAGGAGGAGGGGGAAGATGGGACGGAAGCAGAAGACATGGGCGAGGGGACGAGGGCGAGGAGGAGGAGGAGGAGGAAGCGTGGAGGAGGGAAGACGAGAAGGAGGTGGAGACGAGGAGGGGAAGCATGGAAGGTGGAGGAGGAGAGGAGGGAACAGAGGAATGAGGAGGAGGAGGAGAGGAAGGAGAAGGAGGGAGGAGGAGGAGGAGAGGACACGAAGGAAACAGAGAAGGGGGAGGAGGCGAGGAGGAGGAGGGAGGCGGCAGGAGGAGGAGGGGGATAGGGAGGGGAAGAGGGGAGGAGGAGGAGGAGGAGAGGAGGTGGAGGTGGTGGAAGGAGGAGGCGGAGAGGAGGAGGTGGAGGGAAGGAGGTTGGAGGAGGAGGAGGATGGAGGGAGGATGGAGGAGAGTGAGGTGTGAGGCGGGAGGAGGAGGAGGAGGAGTAGGAGAGGAGGAAGGATGAGGAGGGGGAGGAGGAGGGAGGAGAGGATGGGGAGGGGGAGGAGGGGGGAGAGGGGGAGGGAGAGGAGGGTGGTGAGGAGGAGGCGGAGGAGGAGGAGGATGAGGAGGAGGAGGAGGAAACGGAGGAGGAAACGGAGGAGGAAGTGCCGGTGGAGATGGAGGTGGAGACGGGGACGGGAGAGGGAGGTTCCGTGGAAGAGGTGTGATAGCGTGGCCGTCCCAGGAGTACCAGGGGATCGTGCGCAGCGTGCGGGACTTTGGCGCCTTCGTCGATCCACGAGGGGCCCTCTGGCACCGTGCCGCCGAGCCCCCCTTCTCCCCGAGAAGGGAGGAGGAGGAGCAGGAGATGCAGCAGCAGGAGCAGGAGGCGGACCGAGGTTCGAGGATCGAGGATTCCGGGGGAGTTGGTTCTCAGTCGCCGCGGGTTCAGGATTCTGCGTCGCGTCGCTACGACTGGGTTCTCGCCGCCACGGCTGGATTCGAGGAGAGGTCCCGCGGTCGATGATTGGAAGTTGCGGAGGAAATCAGAGGAGGAGGAGGAGGAGGAGGAGGAGGAGGAGGAGGAGGAGGGGAGGAGGAGGAGGATGGATGGAGGAGCAGAGAGCGGAGGCGTGAGGATGGAGGAGAGACTCTTCGGAGGGCTCAGGGGAGTCAGTGGGAGTCTGCCAGGGGGTTCTGGGTCAGGCCCACGGGGCGCTTGGGGCCGCAGCCGGAACTGAGGCAGGGACTGAGTGCGACCCGTGCCCGCTGGGGCTGCTGCTGGAGCCTCTTGCTGCCGGGCACGAGGCGTGCGAGACAGAGGGGGCCGCTCTGAGGCGGGGCGCGCACGCGATCGTGCCTTGCAGGGCTGGCCCTGCCATCCCCCCCCCCCGGGTGGCCCACCGAGCCTGGCTGGCGCGAGCGCGAGAGCCCCACGCCGCACCACCGGGCAGGCCGGCAGCAGCCACAGCAGGGACGCAGCATGCACCAGGCAGCGCAGGAGCAGCAGCAGCAGCAGCAGCAGCGGCGGCGGCGGCGGCGGCGGCGACAAAACACAGTGGTGGATAATGAGAATCGGAGGAGGCGGGCGCGGTCGGCGCAGCCGCGGGAGAACGAGGGCCCATTTCCGCAGGAGGGTTAGGGACAGGGCTGAGCAGGCAGCTCGGTGCCTCCAGCTGGTGGGCCGTCGGACATCGGAGCCGAGGGCGATGGGATGTTGCACATCTCGTCCATTTCCACGGAGCGCATCGACGACATCTACTCGGTGTTGGAGGAGGACCAGGAGGTCAAGGTCTGGATCAGCGGCCTGCGCGACGACGGGAAGTTCGGCCTGACCATGGTCGAGGGCAAGAAGGACGGCGCCCAGGGGCGTCGTGTCCAGAGCGACGTCACCCCTTTCGAGGGCGTGTCCCCGGACGAGTGGTTCGAGGGCGAGGTCGTGGGCACGCCGTCCTTCGGCGCGTTCATCGTGTTGACCGCAGAGGACGGGACAGAAGCGCAGGGCCTATGCCACGTGTCCCAGATCACCGACGGTTTCGTGGATAACATCAACGACTACGTCTCGGTGGGCCAGACAGTGAAGGTGCGCGTCCAGTCCGTGGATTTGGACGCGAACAAGATGAGCCTGAGCATGAGGGAGAACGGTGGCTATGGTGGCGGCGGCGGATTTACCTCCCGGGAGCCCGCCGACCTCAGCGCATTCGAGTCCATCAGCCCCGACGAGTGGCTCACCGGCACGGTGGCCAGGTGCGCACCCTTCGGGGCCTTCGTGAACGTGAAGGCGCCAGACGGCGCCACGGCGGACGGCCTGGTGCACATCACGCAGATCAAGGATGGCTTCGTGGAGAGCGTGGAGGACGAGGTCCAGGTCGGCCAGGAGGTGAAGGTCCGCGTGGTCAGTGTTGACGTTGACAACGGCAAAATGAGCCTGAGCATGAAGGAGGAGGGCGCGGGCTTCGGCGGCGGCGAGCGGGAGCCCGCCGACCTCAGCGCATTCGAGTCGATTAGCCCCGACGAGTGGCTCACCGGCACGGTGGCCAGGTGCGCACCCTTCGGGGCCTTCGTGAACGTGAAGGCGCCAGACGGCACCACGGCGGACGGCCTGGTGCACATCACGCAGATCAAGGACGGCTTCGTGGAGAGCGTGGAGGACGAGCTCGAGGTCGGCCAGGAGGTGCAAGTCAGGGTGGTCGACGTCGACGTTGGCGCGGGCAAGATGGGACTCTCGATGAAGCCGGAGGGCGCAGAATGAAGCGCCGCCAGCTCGAACTTTTTTGTTGCTGCGCCCGGTGGGGAGAGCCGCTAGGAGGCGATCCGCCGCCCGTGCCGGTCTCCGCGATTGGCGGGTAGGCTGCGGGGAGGGTCGAAGTTAGGAGTTCAGCCGTTTGGAAATGTGTCGAATGACCTCCTCTCCCTCCTCCACAACTGCTCGATCTAGTTCCTCGTGACCCAAAAGGGGGTCCAGCTGAAAGGGGGTGGTGCAATAGATCAGGGGCAAGTGTATTGCAAATGTTTTGCGCCAGAGAATTGTATTGCATTGCATTGCATTGCATTGCATTGCATTGCATTGCATTGCATTGCATTGCATTGCATTGCATTGCATTGCATTGCATTGCATTGCAGCTCATACACTGCGCGCGAAAATCCAGCAATTTATTATTGAATCGCTTCGCTCATTCCGCCGGCCCATTTCGCATGACTGAGCCTCTTGGGGCCGCTGGGGGGCCTCTTCAGCGTCGGTTGGGGGCCTCCTGAGGGCCTCTTGGGGGCTATTGGGGCCTCTCAGGGGCCTCTTGAGGCCTCCTGGGGGCTTCTTAAGGCCGAGGGCTCGAAGCTTTGTTTTGTGTTCCCCCTTTGGGGCATCGCTTGGGGCCCTCTTGGGCCCCTCTTGGGCCGTCTTGGATGCCTCTGGGGCCGTCTTGGAGCCCTCTTGGGCCATCTTGGGGCCTTCTTGCGAGCTTCTTGGGCCCTCTTGGGGCGATCTTGGGGGCCTCTTGGGCCGTCTTGGGGCGTCGGGAAGCCGAAAAGATGGACACGCCAACATCTGCCCAACACCTAAGGACAAGTAATGAATTTTGCCTCTTGGGGCCCTCTGGGGAGTGCTCTTGGAGGCCTCTTGGGGAGTCTGGGGACCATCTTGGGCGTCTTGGAACGATCGTGTGGCATCTCGGAGCACTCTTGAACCATCTTGGAGGGCTCTTGGCGGCCTCGTGGCCCTTCTTGGGGCTCTCTGGAGGGCCACGGGGGCGGCGCCCATGAGGAAAACCATCTCTGATCCGAGTCTGCCGGGGATCGCCCAGGGTACTTTTCGTCCGGGGACCCCCAGGGACCGCCCCGCGCGCGCGAAGTAGAAGTATTATTTAGCAGTTACCGGAGATCTTAGCACGCCTCTGGCCCGTTGGGCCGGCGAATTTGCGAACTGGAATGTATTGCGCACCCCAAACCTATTGCACCAAATCTAATGCAACACCCTTTTTTCGCTGGACTCCCTGTTGGGTAAACCAGACTAGTGGCCTTCGGCCCATTTCGCCACAGTGCCTGGGTTGTAGGTCAGAGGCCTCTGGGTTGCCTGTGGGGACCTCCTGGGAGGCCTCTCGGAAGCCTTTTGGATTCGGTCTTGTGGCATCTTGTGGGCCTCTTCGGGGTCTCTTGTGGGCCCCTTGGGGCCAGATTTGGGCCCCTTGGGGGCCGCCTGGAACTTGGGTGGGGCCTCTTGGGAGCCTCCTGGCGGTCTCGAAGGCCATCTTCAGGCGAAGGGCTCGAAATGTCGATTATTGTTCCCCCTGTGGAGCCTCTCTTGGGCCCCTCTCGGGCACTACTGGGCCGTCTTGGGAGCTTTTTGGGTCGTCTTGGTGCCCACTTGGGCCGTCTTTGGGCACTTTGGGGGCCTCTTGGGGCGATCTTGGGGGCCTCTTGGGCCGTGTTGGAGCGTCGAAAGCCTGAAAGGCCAGAATCTTGCAAAAACCAACGGGCAATACATGCTTTGGGCATCTCTGGAGCGTCTTGTGGGCCTCGTCGGTGGTCTCGAGGCCATCCTGGGCGTATGTGAGCAATCTTGGGGCGACGTTGGGCCCTTCTGGACCGTTTTGGGGGCCTCTTGGAGCCACTGGGCGAGTCTCTTCACGCCGATGACGCCGATGTATGACCGACGTCGCCGATGCATCGCCGATGCATCGGCGATTTGGCGCGATCGTCCGACCCTATCTACTCGGACCCCATCTTCTAGGCGGCCCCTTGAAATTTCGCTGTCGTGCTAGAACGCCTTGACGCACGGGCCGCGGACTGGAGCGCGGCATCGACCGTGACAGAATGCCGACGGAGCGCTCGCACAACCAGGCGAGCATCCTCAGGGTGCGAGCAAGTGAGGACAGTCTTCGGCGAGATACTCGGCTGCTGCTCATTGGAGAATATGGCGAGGAGCAGTGACAGGCGGACTTCGTGGCTGCTGACTTGGGTCAAGTCTTAGAAAGGCTTGGTCCGCTGGGGACTGGCTCCCCCCCAAAACTGACGAACAGTCTTCCGAAACTCTTCGAAAAGCCTCCCAGAACCCTTCAGAGAGGTTTTCGGGAGGGCTTCGGCTGTCTTGGAAGGGGGGAGGGAGGGGGAGGGGGGGAAGGAATTCGGGAGGGAGAGAGATGGGAGGAGGGCGGAGAAGGTGTGAGGGAATGTTGGGAGGGGATTTTGAGAGGGAGGGAGGGAGAAGGAGGAGGGAGGCAGAGAGAAGAGGGAGGGAGGAGGAGTGCCAGTCCCCAGCGAACCCTTGACCTCCTAAGCCAAGTCAGCAGGCGCGAGGCCCGACCTGCCGCTGCTGCAGCGGCCGAGGGGAGAAATCGCGCCAGCGGCCAGAGAGGCGGGAAACGGGCAACGGCAGCGGGCAGAGGCCTGAACCTCCTCCGCCTCCTCTTCCTCCCTCCTCCTCCTCCTCCTCCTCCCCTCCTCCTCCTCCTCGTCCTCCTCCTCCTCCTCCTCCTTCTCTTCCGCCTCCTCCTCCTCCTCCTCCTGCACCTGCTCCCCCCCCTCCTCCTCTCCTCCTCCTCCTCCTCCTCCTTCCTCCTCTCCTCCTCCTCCTCTCCTCCTCTCCCTCCTTCCTCCTCCTCCTCTTCTCCTCCTCCTCCTCCTTCTCCTCCCTCTCCTCCTCCTCCTCTCCCCTCCTCCCTCCTCCTCTCTCCTCCTCCTCCTCCTCCTCCTCCTCCTCCCTCCTCCTCCTCCTCCTTCTACCCCCTCCTCCTGTTTCTCCTCCTCCTCCTTTTCCTCCTTCCCCGCCCTCCCTCCTCCACCCTCCTCCTCCTCCTCCGCCTCCTCTCCTCCTCTTCCTCTTCCTCTTCCTCTCTCCTCCTCTCTCCTCTTCTCTTCCTCCACGTCCTCGTCCTCCTCCCTCTCTCTCCTCCTCCTCCCTTCCCTCCTCCTCCTCCTTCTCTCCTCCCCTCCTCCATCCACCCTGCCTCCTCCTCCCTCTTCCGCCTCCCTCCTCCCCTTCCTCCTCCCCTCCACCCTCCTCCCCCTCCCTCCTCCCTCTCCCCCTCCCTCCTACCTCCTTCCTCCTTCTTCCTTCTCCTCTCCTCCTCCTCATCCTCCTCCTTCTCCTCCTCCTACTCCTCCTCCTCCTCCTCCTCCCATCCTCCTGCTCCTCCCTCCTCCTCCTCCTCTCATCCTCCTCCTCCTCCTCCTCCTCCTCCTCCTCCCCCCTCCTCCTTCTCGTCCTCCTCCTCCTTCTCTGTTTCCGCCTCCTCTTCCTCCCTCTCCTCCTCTCCTCTCCTCCACCTCCCCTCCTCCTCCTCCACCTCCTCCTCCTCCTCCTCCTCCCTCTCTCCTCCTCCTCCGCCTCCTCCTCCGCCGTCCTCCTCCTCCTCCTCCTCGTCCTCCGCCCTCCTCCTCCTCCTCCGGAGATTACGAAGCAGGCCCACACCGACAGGAATACCTACAAGCTGATCAAGCCCAAACCATGGCGCCTCGTGCTGCCCATTGGCTGTGCCGCACCGCCTACACCGTGGCCGCGGCCCCTCGCCAGACAGGGCGACCACGTGCAGGAGGACATGGGCGAACATTGGGGTGCCGTGGCGCAGGCGTGCGTGGGCCACCTCAACCGCTACTTCAACTACGAGGGCGACGGGCTCGCCAAGCGCACGGGCCATTTCGAGCTGCCGACGTACAGGTGGCAGGACATCGAGAACCCCGCCGCCATGGAGGCCACCGCCACGCAGGCGTGGGCCGAGGGCGCGGAGTGGCCGGCCCGCAGGCTCAAGGACCTGCACGACAGCGCGTCGGCCTGGCTCGCCAAGGGCCGCGACGACGCCAACTTCAAGTACAGGGTGGACGTGCTGGCCAAGAGCCTCCTCAGCCACCCCATCGTGATGCCGCTCTTCCCCAGGCGCGCCTCCGACCATCAGCAGTACGCGGCCGAGCAGGAGGGCGTCGTCGACGAGAATGACGACGAGGCGTTGCCGGGGGTGTTTGAGGGCGAAACATCCCCTGACTTCCCTCAGGAGGAGGCGGAGGTGGTACAGGGCCGCCTCGCGGCCAAAGCGCCACTTTCTTGCGGGCCCGAGGCCGTCAGTTGGAGCGACACCTGCTGGCCAGACATCGAGAGCACGCTGGGCTGCCTCACAGCCGACACGGTCACCGACAGCGAGCTCAGCTACATCCTCTGCATGATCAAGCTGCTGGATATCGCCAGCCGCCGCAGCTGGCTGACAGCGCACCGCGCCTCGGCCGCCAGCGGGAGGCGTTGGGTGCGCACCCGTGGACAGAAAGGGGCTGGTGCCATCCACCGATGGACCAAGCCCGCCAACCCGTGGCAGCCGCAGACCACCGCGGGCGACACGCAGAACCTGGAGGACCACGCGCTCGTGCACCCCCAGGCCGTTGCGGACAACGCGCTGGCGGGCTGGGAGAGCATCTGGGGCGACACGCTGAACGAGCAGGACCCCTGGCTGCAGGCCCCCACGGACCTGGAGATGGCGGAGCATCGGAGCAGGTCATGGAAGCAGGTCATGGACGGTCATGGACGGTCATGGACAGCAGCGGGCGCTTCCGCCCTATGACGGGTCTGGGCGAGGCCGACTGGCACCCACGACTGTGGCAGCTAGGCGGCTACGCAGGTGCAGCGCGCATCGCCAGCGCGCGGAATGCCGTGGGGGCGGGAGCTCCCTGGCCCGCGGCGCAGTCCACCATCCTGTTCTACTTCCCGGCCAAGCCGCACGGTTGCTACCGCAACCTCGGGCTGATTCCCGAGCTGGCGAGGCTGTGGGAGACCATCCGCGTGCCGTGCGCGCGGGGCTGGGAGACCAAGAACAGGCGCGACTACGACTTGGGCAGCCCGAGGCAGGTCCAGCGAGCGGACGGCGCGGGTGCAGGCCATGTTATGGGAACCCACCGTCGCTCAGGACCTAGACAGCGCGGTCACGTACTTCGACCTGGTAAAGTGCTTCGAGCTCGCGACGCACGCCAAGGTCTGGGAGGCCGGGCTGCGCCGGGGCTTCAACCACATCATCCTGACGGTGATCCCGCGGATCCACATCATGGTGCGGAGGGCCGTCTTGGCAGACTGCTACATCGAGGGGAGACAATGGGCGCGCGGCATCGTCGCGGGCAGCCGCTTCGCGCCCGTCTGCCCAAAGATGGTGTTCTTCGCCGAGCTGGACGGGGTCGCGCAGGCCTTCCCGCGGGCAGACACGTTCCTCTTCTTCGACGACCTGGCGGGGGCCACCCGCGGACCGCGGCAGCCCGTGCTCCACTGGCGCGCCGCCTTGGCTCAGACACTGCTGCGCGCGTCCGAGCAGACTTTGGGCATGCAAGTCTCCAAGGGCGAGCGGGGCAAGACCGCCACCATGACCTCGGCCCCGTCGCTCCAGCCCACCCTCGCCAAGCGCATCAGGCCGATGAACCGGCGCATGGCGACCCCCGAGAACCATCTGGGCATCACCGCGGGCGCGGGCCGACGCAGGCGAGCCGCAGCCTTTTCCAAGCGGGCCGCGAAGTTCTTAGCGAGGCGGGATCATATCGCCAGGGTCCGATGCGCAAGTGGGCCAGCTGAAAAAATTGTACGACGAGCCAAGCTGCCTTCACTCTTGGACGGGGTGCAGGCCATGGGCTTGGCGGATGCCAAGGTCGGAGAGCTGCGCCAGAGCGTCGCCTCCTCGTGCAACGGGAACGCAAAAGGGGCGCTCCACCCACCTGGTGCTCCTCGCGGAGGACCCAGGTGCGACGGCCAACGTGGCGCCCCTCCTGGCCTGGGCGCAGGCGCGGCACGAGGCCGAGCACTGGCCGCACCTCATCGGCCACCTGCAGGCCGCCTGGAAGCGCTGGGCGCCCAAGGTGGCGCGCGCCAAGGTGCCCTGGCAGATCGCCAGAGCGCCCGCAGGCGCCTTCATCGCCGCCGTGCGGCGCCTGGGCTGGCAGACCCAAGGGGCGCACTCCATCGCCATCGGCGCCGAGGTGCTCGACCTGCGCATCCTGCCGCTGCGCGAGCTCCGCTGCCGAGTGAAGCAGGCCACCGAGCAGAGCCGCAAGGACGCCTGGCTCGCCAAGTGGGGGGAGACTCACCAGCTGGAGTCGCTGTTCGCGGAGCCCGTGCGGGCTTTGCTCGAGCGACCAACCAGGGGCAGATGGGCGCGGGCGCACCAGGCCCGCGCGCGCACGCTCTGGCGCGGCGGCGCATGGCCGCAGGAGCGGCTCTACCAGAAGGGCGCCGTGGCCGACCCCATCTGCAATGCGTGCAACGCGGAGGCTGGGACTGACAGCCACCGTACCTTCGCGTGCGCCGCCAGGAACGAGGACCGCCGCGCCGTCTGCGGCTTGCACGTCGCACAGCGCGGCGCCCGTCCGTGGCCTGGGTCCGAGCAGCTCTGGGGCCGAGGCCTCGCAAGCGACCCCGCCGTGGAAGCCGGGCTGTGGCAGCTGCCGTCGGCCAGCGAGATGCTCGTCCACGGCGAGTGCGACGGCCCCGTCACAGGGGATGTCTACGCGGACGGCAGCCTCCTCAACGGCGCCCACGCGGCGCTGCGGCGAGGAGGATGGTGTTTCGCGCAGTTGACGGAGAAGAACGAATTGAAGCATGCGGTCTACGGGCCGCGCCCAGGCGGGCAGTGAGACCAGAGCATCTACAAGAGCGAGCTTGTGTCCGTCCTGCGAATCTTCCAGGTGGCCTTCCCGCCCATCCACGCCTGGCCCGACTGCCGGGCCATCCTGGGCGGCTTCGCGCGGGGCCCCGCCTGGGCCGTGCACCCAGCCACCCTGCGCAGCGACTTGCGGCGGGAGCGCTGGGAGCGGATCGCTGAACATGGGGGAGTAGGGCCTAGAGGCATCAGCTTTAGTTAAGCGAAAGCGCACGCCACTAGACAGCAGAGGGTCCAAAGGGGCCCCTATCGTTTCATGGTAGATAATTACGCCGACGAATATGCCAAGCTAGGGGCCCAGCAGCAACAACATGCGCCGTGACACAGAGCGGCGTATACCCAGCGTTATAAACTCGGTTCAGATGTGCTAGAGTTCGCAGCCTATGTAGCACTGCTTGGGCAAGGGCCCGCTGACACCTCCGAAGGTTCGGAACCCCCCATTAAGCATCCGAGCCATCCCAGGCCCCCCGACCCCGAGCCGAGCGGGGAAGTGGAGGAGCCTGCGGGACCTGGACGGGGACGGAGGTAGGATCGAACGGGTCCGCGCCAGAGGCCACCAGGAGGTGTTCCTCCATCGAGTAGTATTCTGACGGCCGCGCGCTAGGCGCCACTGATCGATGGATCCGTCTTTTGACCAGTAAACCTGGGGGGAATCCTTGGAAGATCTCTGGGCGTTTAAGCCGTTTGTGGCGAGGTCGGCACCCCGCGACGAACAGTCCGTTTTGATTCTGCCCCCCCAATACCGCCCAGGAAAGGCCTGGGGTGAGGGAAGAGGCATCCGACCAGGTAGGTGGCCCCCCCGCGGCGGTCCTCCCTCACCTAGCTTCACAATGTCCTGCAATATCCTCCTCCTCCTCCTCCTCCTCCTCCTTCTCCTCCTCCTCCTCCTCCTCCTCCTCCTCCTCCTCCTCCTCCTCCCTCCCCCTTCCTCCCCCCCTCCTCCTCGTCCTCATCCTCCTTATCCTTTCCTTCTCCGCCTCCTCCTCTTCATCCTCCTCCGCCTCCTCCTCCGCCGTCCTCTTCCTACTCCTTCCTCCCCCCTCCTCCTCCCCCTCCTCCTCCCTCCTCTCATCCTCTCATCATCATCATCATCTCCTCCTCCTCCTCCTCCTCCTCTCCTCCTCCTCCTCCTCCTCTCCTCCTCCTCCTCCTCCTCCTCCTCCTCCTCCTCCTCCTCCTCCTCCTCCTCCCCCTTCCTCCCCTTCCTCCTCGTCCTCCTCCTCCTTCTCCTTTTCCTCCTCCGCCGTCCTCCTCTTCCTCCTCCTCCGCCTCCTCCTCCTTTTCCCCCTCCTCATCCTCCTCCCCCTCCTCTCCTCCTCTCCTCCCCTCCTCCTCCTCCCCTCCTCCTCCTCCTCCTCCTCCTCCTCCTCCTCCTCCTCCTCCTCCTCCTCCTCCCCCCCTCCTCGCGCGCGCAGGACGGGGCGCTGGACCTCGGCGTGCCGAGCACCTCCGAGGACTCGCCGCCCTCCCCCCCACAAAGCTCAGAGGAGGGAAACGGTACCCGCTACAGTGGGAAAGCCAAAAAGCACCTTGCTTGCCTCCAGGGTGCCCTGGGAGGTTCTCGTCGCCACCGTTGGATTCGCCTCGGGATGCTGGTCAGGACGCAGTCCGGGAGAGGTTCGGGGAGTAGCGGTATCGGTATTTTTTGATTCACCCAGAGGCGGCGATGGGGGGCCCGCCATTGTGCTGCGCCACAGTGGGAACGTCCACGCCAAGAAGCACCCTGCTTGCCTCCAGGGTGCCCTGGGTTTCTGCGATGGAAAGCGTGATGTTCCCACACCAAGAAGACCAATGAACGGCCTGGGGTCTCAGGGTTGGGTTCCTTGTGGAAGGTGTCTTGTGGACTGGCCTCCACTGTACTGCTACCCTTTTTCCTGGTTTCTCCTTTTTCGCCCTCCTGGGAGCTGCTCGTCGCCACCGTTGGATTCGCCTCGGAATGCTGGTCAGAACGCACTTCGGGAGAGGTTCGGGGAGTAGCGGTATCGGTACTTTTTTGATTACCCCAAAGGCGGCGATGGGGGGCCCGCCACTGTGCTGCGCCACAGTGGGAACGTCCATGCCAAGAAGCACCCTGCTTGCCTCCAGGGTGCCCTGGGTTTCTTCGGTTTGGATGGTCTTGCGATGGAAAGCGTGACGTTCCCACACCAAAAACCACTGAACGTCCTGAGGTCTCAGGGTTGGGTTTCTTGTGGAAGGTTTCTGGTGGACTGGTCTCCACCGTACTGTTATCATTTGCCTGTTTTTGTTCGCCTCCCTGGGAGGTTCTCGTCGCCACCGCTGGATTCGCCTCGGAATGTCGGTCAGAACGCACTCTGGGAGAGGTCCTGGGAGTAGCGGTATCCGTGCGTGTTCGATTACCCCAAAGGCGGCGATGGGGGGCCCGCCACTGTGCTGCGCCACAGTGGGAACGTCCATGCCAAGAAGCACCCTGCTTGCCTCCAGGGTGCCCTGGGTTTCTTGGGTTCCGATGGTCTTGCGATGGAAAGCGTGACGTTCCCACACCAAAGACCAATGAACGTCCTGGGGTCTCAGGCTTGGTTTCCTTGTGGAAGGTTTCTGGTGGACTGGTCTCCACTGTACCGTTATTCTTTGCCTGTTTTTCTTCGCCCTCCTGGGAGGTTCTCGTCGCCACCGTTGGATTCGCCTCGAAGTTCTGGACAGAACGCACTCGGGGAGAGGTTCGGGGAGTAGCTGTATCATTTGTTGTTGATTACCCCAAGGCGGCAATGGGGGGCCCGCCACTGTGCTGCGCCACAGTGGGAAAACCAGTGCCAAGAAGCACCCTGCTTGCATCCAGGGTGCCCTGGGTTTCTTGGGTTTCGATGGTCTTGCGATGGAAAGCGTGACGTTCCCACACCAAAGACCAATGAACGTCCTGGGGTCTCAGGGTTGGTTTCGTGTGGAAGGTTTCTGGTTGAAGGTTTCTTGTGGAAGGTTCGAGCTTCTGCTGTATGCCGTTCAGTGGAGGAATAGAGAAAAAATACCGACACCGCTGCCCTCATCTAATTTCCGCTCGTCTCGGACCTCGGGGGAAGCCCCCGTCGCCAGGGCTGGGTTCGCCTCGGAGTTGGCTCGAGTCTGTCTGTCCCCCCGGCTGCGACGCCGGCCTGCACGACGCCATGCCGAGGTATGCCGAGCCGTGCTCGCCGAGCGCGTTCCATTGCTCGCAAAGTGCCTACTCGCAAACGTTCGAAAAACACTTGTCTGCTTTGATGTAATTTATAGTAGATCCCCCCGCGGAGAATCCAGGCGATTTGCGAGTAGTTACTTTGCGAGTAGTGGAACGCGCTCGTCGACGTGCAATGTGGTGTTCGGTGCTGCTGCAGTGCTGCGCCGTGCCGTGCTGTACTAGCCCCTGCCAATCATGTGAGCCATGCAAATGTCGACACGCGATGTTGCTCAGTGATCAGGTGCTGCTGTCGCGCCATGCTACACGTACGACAGGCGGTCGTGCAGCATGCGTTGATAATGATATGCTATGTTGCGCAATTCATTTCACGGCATCTCATTCCGCCGCACCTCGTGGCGTTGCTCCACACATGTTTGCATAAGAGAGTACGGCAGGTTGGCGCCGCGTTGACACCGCCGGACCTCAGGCGCGGGCAATGTTGAACGCCGCCTGTGGCCCTGAAACGGCCGATATCGATTGATCTGCTCCCTTGGAAAACCGCGATCGCTCAAGGGTGAACCATCCATGCGCTGTCAGTAGCCAGCTCCGACGTCATCGCGGCCTGAATCCGCCGAATCCTTAGTTCGGGTCGCGCATGGATCATATCGAAGACGCCTACGGCGAATCACCGCCGCCCCCTGCCTTTTTGGAAGCGCCTGCGTGGCCGAAAGTTGGGTGAGCTTGGCCAAGCTATCGGGCCACGCGTTTCCCGAGTGGGTTTCGAAAGCCTTCGGGGAACACCGAGTCGGGCGAGCTATCGGACCAGGTGGTTTCCGAGCTTTCGGGCCTCCTGGAGGACGTCTTGGAGGGGTCTTGGGTTGTCTTGGAGGCCTCTGGCGGGCCTTTTGGGCAGTCTAAGGCCATCTTCACGCCATCAGGGGCCGTCTTGGGTGCATCTTGGGGCTATCTTCACTGTCTTGGAGGCTTTCTTGGCCGTCTTGGAGGCATCTTGGAGGCCATCTCGGCCGTTTTGGAGGCCATTTTGGGTGTCTTGGGGACCTCTTGGGCCGTCTTGGGGCCTTCTTGGGGCCCTCTTGGGGGCCTCCTGGGGTGTCATGGGGCCATCTTGGAGGCCTCTTGGGCGCTATTGGGTCGATGTTGGGGGCCGCTTGGGCCGTCTTGGACCGTTGGAGAGCTGAAAAGGAGCAAAAGCGACCGTCCTTGAAACACCTAAGATAATTCAATGATTTTGGAGGCCATCTGGGCCTTCCTGGAGGACGTCTGGGAGGCTCTTGGGCCGTCTTGGAGGCCTCTTGCCGGCCTATGGGGCCCTCTTAGGCCATCTTGAGGCCAGCTTGGGCAGTCTTGGTTGCATCTTCGGGCCATCTTAGCCGTCTTGACGGCCACCTTGGGCGTCTTGGTGGCATCTTGGAGGCCATCTTGACCGTTTTGGAGGCCATTTTGGGTATCTTGGGGACCTCTTGGGCCGTCTTGGGGCCTTCTTGGGGCCCTCTTGGGGGCCTCCTGGGGTGTCATGGGGCCATCTTGGAGGCCTCTTGGGCGCTCTTGGGTCGATGTTGGGGGCCGCTTGGGCCATCTTGGGCCGTCGGAGAGCTGAACAGCGGCAAAAGCCACAATCCTTCAAACACCTAAGGAAAATCAATGATTTTATCCTTGTCGGGCCTTCCTGAAGGACATCGTGGAGGGCTGGCTCGTGGGCCGTCTTGGAGGTCCTTTGCGGGCATTCTGGGCAGTCGTAGGCCATCTTGAGGCTAGCTTGGGCTGTCTTGGGTGCATGTTGGGGCCATCTTGGCCGTTTTGGAGACCATATTGGCAGTCTTGGAGGCATCTTGGAGGCAATCTTGGGTTTCTTGGAGGCCTCTTGGGCCGTCTTCGGGCGTTCTTGTAGCTGTCTTGCGGGCCTTTGGGGCCGTCCTGGGGCCGTCTTGGAGGCTTCTTGGGCACCCTTGGGGCGATCTTGATGGCCTCTTGGGCAGTCTCGGGCCGTCGGAAGGCCGAAAAGGAGCAACAGCCAAATCCTTCAAACACCTAGGGACATGATGTTGACCTCTTCGGGCCGTCCTTGAGGACCC